TGTGCCACTTCTTTTTTTTTTTTTTTTTTTAGAGTCGGAGTCTCACTCTGTCGCCCAGACTGGAGTGCAGTGGCCAGCGCCACCGCAGCCTCGACCTGCTGGGCTCCGGTGATCCTTCCAGTTGTGCCACTTCTGATTCTCACTAGGATCCTGTTAGGCAACTAAGGGGCAAGTGTCCTTTAGAATGTGACCAAACTGACAGAAAACCTGTCTATAAAATGGGGATGTTTTAGTCTAATTCTGTTGGCCTATTTTGCTATTTACCTCATAGGATCATCAAAAGACATAAATCTATGTCCAGCAGCTGTAAGTAAAGCATGAAAGACATTAGTTTTCTCTGTTAAACTGTTTTAACTTTTATGTGATCTTTATCCAAATCTTTTGCCTTGCTTGAACTGACCTGTTTGTTTGATTAATACTCATTAAAGAAATGAGGAGTTAATTACTACTCTTTTGACTCCACCTCTCCTCAGATGGAAATGGAATTGTTGGGCAAAGGGTATGCACATTTAAATTTTTGGTAAATATTGCTGGATTGACCCCTAGAAAGGTTGTACCAACTTTTACTGTTTTCAGTAGTGTAGTGGGTAAGCATATTTCCCCCTACATTCTTGACAAAGCTGGACATTATCAAGCTTTTAAAACTTGGGGGAGATTAGTCAAGGTTTAGCTTATTATTTGAAATTGAGCATCTTTTGTTTTTGTTTTTTTTTGAGTCAGAGTCCCACTCTGCCCCTCAGACTGGAGTACAGTGGCATGCTCATGGCCACCGCAGCCTTGACCTGCTGGGCTCAGGTGATCCTTCTGCCTCAGTCTTTCAAGTAGCTGGAACTACAGGCATGTGCCATCATGCCCCGCTAATTTTTCAAAAAAATTTATTGTAGAGATGAGGTCTCACCAAGTTGCCTAGGTTGGTCTCGAACCCATAGACTCTGGCAATTCTCTCACCTTGGCCTCCCAGAGTGCTGGGATATAGGTATGAGCACTGTGCTCGGCCAAGTTGAATATCTTTTATGATGTGTGTTGGTTATTTGCCTTTCTTTTATACTTTGCCTATTAGTAGCTTTTACTCATTTTTCAATTGGGTTATCTTTTGTTGATCTGTAGGAACACTTTTATATATTACCTATGTTGTAGATATTTTTAAGCTAGTTGCTTTTTTTTTGGCCCTGGGGTCTCATTATGTTGCTCAGGCTGGGCTCAAACTCCTGGACTCGAGATCCTCCTGCCTCAGCCTCCCTGGTAGCTAGGACTACAAGCATGTGCCCACTGTGCTTGGCTCTGCTGCTTGCATTTTAACTGTCTTTATGGCATCTTTTGTTTTATTTTTATGGAGGCAAATCTTTCTTTTTTTTCTTTTTTTTTTTTTTGAA